CAATAGCTAAATGGTTTTAAATTGTATAATATATTTCAGGTTTCAGCGCTACAGGGGTTTAAAGAGTTTCCGTGCGTCTCCCTGGGACCCTATGGAAAACTTGCCCCCAGACTATTCACGTATTTTCCAGTTCCAGAGCTTTGAACGCACCCGCAGACGCATCCTGACTGAGGCTGCAGCTGAAGATGAGGGGGCCATGGTAAATCTGTTGTATAAGTGTATTTGAATGTTATGATTGATTATGATATTCTTCATCATGACTCAACGTACTTTGTTTTAGGTGGGCTGGTATGTTACGCTGCACATTATTGATGTCCCGTCCTCTGTGATGGACAGTGTCCAGGCAGGCAGACCACTTGTTTTGGTCTCTCTTTTGCCCCATGAACAGAAGGTTTGTTCACATGCTATGTGTTTTAAAGGACAAGAGCTCACTCAGGTCTAATACCTCTAGCGTTTTGCAGATGTCTGTTATGCATCTTTTGGTAAGGAGGCATCCCCGTAACACAGAGCCAATTAAATCCAAAGAGGAACTTATTTTCCATTGTGGATTTCGAAGATTCAGGGCCTCTCCTATTTTCTCTCAGCACACCTCAGGTACATCTCAACTAATTTATTTATTTTTTTCCCAATGGTGTTTCTGCATATCTGTCATATTAATTTGTGTTTTGTTGCTAGCTGACAAACACAAGATGGAGCGCTTTCTCAGGCCAGATGCCCCCACTGTTGTGTCAGTGTATGCTCCCATCACCTTCAACCCTGCTGGAGCCCTGCTGTTCAAACAAAGGGATGATGGTGAATTTTTTTATATATGCATTTAATACACTTAACAGTGTTGTTGTTTTTTTTTAACATTTGTCATCTTTGTATTTGTTTGATTTAATATCCTTTTCAACTGATCCTGGACTGGCCATTGACTGTCATTGCCATTTGACTGTTCTCTTTTAGGTGCGCAGGATCTTGTGGCCACAGGCAGTCTGCTTAGTTGTGATCCACAGCGCATAGTACTAAAGAGAATTGTCATCAGTGGTCACCCTTTCAAAATCAATAGACGATCAGCAGTTGTTCGATATATGTTCTTTAATCGAGGTGAACACTTAGAATAGCGCATAATTTTCATAATACGATATTTTGGTTTGCACTTCTTTTAATATTTCTTTATTCTGTTGAAGATGATATCATGTGGTTCAAGCCAGTTGAGCTGCGAACTAAATGGGGACGAAGAGGCCACATCAAAGAAGCTTTAGGTAAAATACAAACCTGAGCCAAAACATAATGCATTGTTATTGTAACTGTTGGACATTGATGGATTTTCATTTATCTTTCAGGAACCCATGGGCATATGAAGTGTGTATTTGATAATCAGCTGCGCTCTCAAGACACAGTCCTAATGAACTTGTATAAGAGAGTGTACCCTCGCTGGACGTACGACCCCTTTGTGGTTTTGCCTTTACCATGGGTTAAAAGAGAGGTGACTGTGGAGATGCAGGACTTGGATGATATGGAGTAGTGGTACATAGAAGATGCACAAAATTTGAACTTATATTCTGAGAGTATAGCATCTATAAATTAAAAACTGACTGAAAGCTGATCGATTGTCATGATTGGTTGTTTTTACACAGAATATTTTTTAAAAGCCCTAATTGATAGGAGGCAGCCAGTTGCAGTGTTACATGAGTACTCTAGATGGCAGTGAAGAATCATCTTAGGTGCACAAGGGTTAAGTCATTGAGCAGCGAGTCAAATATGTTCATAGGTGGTATTTCTGAATGTATGAAAGTTATCTAAAAAGCACTGGTATAACCATTAGTATTAACTGGATAGATTAATGTCAATGTAATATGAATCAGCATAGTTTTAATTCCTTGTGTCTTGTAGAGAAGTGGTTGGCCTTTATGTGTAGGTTTTTCTGTGGTCCTTCTTGGTGGTCCTACACTGACCTGAAGCCAGAGCACACAGAACTGTCAGTTATAAATCTGAAATACTTAAGTGTCTTTCCCCATATTCATAAGAAAACTAAGCTGTGAATCATTAACTATTTTTTACTGCTTATTTTAATGGATGTCTTGAACACTTTAAGCACTAAGATTGGTGGTGTAGAGCTTGCCAGGGCTGTTTAGGCTTGGATGGTTGACTTGCTATGAGCCTCAAACAGGGCAGTTTTGTGTATGCTTTACTTTAGATAAGATGATTCAGTTAGAATGACAAGGAAGTTGCCCTTGTATAGCGGAACTACAAAATTGATGTAAACTTAGATCAGTTGAATGGTACTCACTTCCATGCTTCAAAATATTACTGAATGATAGCATCAACGACATATACTTAGTAAAAATAAAATTATTCATGTGAAAAAGTAGCACTGAGCAGTAAGGATATGCAACTATGTAGCATGTATGTTTTTAGCAGCCAGATGAAAATCTATGAAAAAAACTTGAAACTAACTTATGTTGTTTTTTGTGGCACACATATGCATGGGTAAAGCCACCAGATGACATGCTGACCGTGTCTCTGAACAGGAATGTCTTGCGGTTCCCAGTCTTTGCCACCACAGTTAGCTGGCTCCCAACTGAAGGTATGATGGGCAAGAAATTTTTATTTATTTTTTTCCATTCGATGTGGATAAAGAGATGGAAGGAGAGGAGGGCAGCAAAGGAACCAAAGATAAGAGTCAGCGTGAATCCAGACAGTGGTGGTAGGAGCTAGGGAGGTAGGAATGCACAAGAAAGAATCTGGAAATTAAAATAAAAAGTTAGTGGGTGAGAGAGGCACGAAGGGGTGAAATGGAGGAGTGTGAGAGTGTGGGCAAAGGGAGTTGGAGCGAGTGGATGGCGTTTATGGGTTGCAGATGTGGCGCTGTGGGGCTTTGGCAGGGGCCGAGTTCCCTGGAATCGCACTCAGGCTGGGTGGCACCGGGGTGAGAGGGAGGTCACCCCACCACAGCACACAGCCCATAAAACAGAGAGAGGAGGGGGAGAGAGGAGCAGAGAGCCCCCCCAAAACACTCCAGCATGGGACACTCAGCCTGCTCCGGATGAAGACTTATGGGTTAATGGTTATTACTTTTAGCATCCTCCACTTAGACCTCCCTTTTACATACAGTACATGTCCATTGTGATAAAGATGATAAAAGAGTTCATATTTTTTATCTCAATTGATTTACACAAGTGGTTTAAAGAAGCAAATTATTATATCAGATTTGGCGGAAATGGGCCAGTAAGTGAGTGAGAAGGCTTTAGATAAGAGTATGTGTCAGTACTGAAAGGAAAACAAAAATGACACCACTTTTGTAACGAAATGTAACTTTTTTTAAAGGAGGATTAGATTATCATTTGAAAAGAATGGTTATTTCTGACATATGAAAAACTACTATATCATACAGTTTGTTTGATTTTGCTTCAAATGATTACTTTTTTTTTTTTTTACAATTTTATCAATTTTACTTCTGTGATGCACGCGCTCTCTCTTTCTGTCCCTTTTCCTCTCTCTCCCCCCCCCCCCTCTCTCTCTCTCTCTCTCTCTCTCTCTCTCTCTCTCTCTCTCTCTCTGTCGTCCCTCTTTCTGTCTTTACCCGTGCTCTGGCTCCCTGGTTTCTGAGGCCCAAAACCACAGCTGCAGCTCCATCAGCCTCTTCCCTCTCCTGGCATCCTCCCCACTGCTGCCATTAATCAGATGAGAGGGTTGGGGTATTTCTGCATGTGAGATGTCAACTGTATTTATGCCAATCCCCACTCTGTGATGCAGGGCTGATGTGTTGTTGCTGATGGTATGGAGACCAGGACCTCACAACAAAGCTCTGGGTTCACACAGAGAACAGAAGAGGGAGGGGTGCACAGACACAGGCCCTGATGGTGCGCACATTCAGCTCTGTCAGGAACGGGAAGAGAGAGGTTTTTAGATGCCACTTAAAGAGAAGACAGGCAAATCAAACTGTTAAGTATATTTAGATCTGAATGCTAAGATCTCAAAGAAGAGGAAGTATCCACAAGACTTGACTGACTGGTTAATGCGTAATGTTTTTGTCAATTTTTATTCGCCTACTCCTAAAACAATGGCATCAGAAGAAGAACCTTTATAAAGCTTTTTTAAGGCAGTATTAAGCTACTTTTTTTTTTACATTTAAGCATATGATTTTTATTATGTTTTCTAACCTAAATTTTGTTTTTGTATGTAAAACCCAGTTCAATGAGAAATAGTAATTCAGCTCTGATCTCATAAAAACATATTGATTAATTGGATGAATTAAGCTGTTTAAATTAGGCTAAAACAATAGTGCTTTGTAATAAAAGTGCTTTTTAGCACGAGATGCATCACAGTGAAGGCACGGAATGCTTTCAAATGACCAGAGCAGGTCCAGTTAAGGTATTAAAATGAGGATGAACATATCCTGGACAACCACAGATGATGTAAATTGGTGAAAGTGGAGGATTATTAAAATATACAAATGAAACAAAACACGTCTCCAGGTATATACACTGTAATTACAATTGAAAGAAAAAGAAAATCAGTTAAGTAGTGTTGTCTATTACTGTCTCTACAAGTGGCAGTGAAATTAAAAACACACACACTATTTCCAACCTGCTCAGCTCTGACCCCCTTGAGGGCCTCCCATGCAGAGTGCTTTAGTGCTGACATCAGTGCACTGAGACCTGGCAACCCACTCTCTCCTCTTCTCCCCTCACCATGCTTCCTGCCCTGATGATGTCACACACCATATGGTTTTCAGCAGTATCAAGCCGGAAAAGAGATTTGGGAGAAAGGAGCGAAAAAAGGAGGACTGGAAGAGTGCGTGGATTGGACAGAAAACAAAAGATTGGCTCGTCCCCCTGAGTGTGAAGGAGAGGAGAAGGAGAGAGGCTGCTCTGTGTGAGGCTAATGAGGAGCGACCAGGGAGCAAAGACCACGCAGCAGAAAAGCATGTGCTAAACAGACGCCCAGTGCACGCTGGAGTAACCCACGTTTACAAAATGGAAGGAAACAATGTTAAAATAAACATTAATAGATAGTTAAAGGTTACTCAGTTTTTTATTGAGCAAGATATTAACAGTTATGCATAGCCTATCCAATATATTTTGTACACCATGTTCTAACTGAGGGTCCACCACCTGCTTCCATGTGTGTCTTCACTCTACAGAGTATGGCATTAAACTTATCTATCTCGCTGGAGACAGGCAGAAACAGTGGTAAGGTGACCCAGCTCAGAGCAAGAATGCATTAATTTCAAGGTATTTTCTTTGCAATAAAACTGTAAATTAAGTGCCAAAATATTTTAAAAGAGACAAAGCAATGACATCTCCATGGAAACAAGAAGAGGCAAATCCGGCATCAGAAAGATTACATAATGCAACAACTTTAAGAGGAAATTGATGGGCACGGTGGAATTTGCTGATAAGGGCCCTGTGTCACAAATGTGTGATAAGGTGCTCTATGTTACACCATCATTCATTCACTTCACTATTTATTACATTTTAAAAATATGATCCTCCTAAGTGACCTAAAACTTTGTCACATTTACATATATTTAGGCTTAGTGCAAAATGGTCTTTTTAAATTTTAAAAAGGAAAACTAGCCCTAACCCTTACAGACACACTTGCCATCAAAGCACTAAAGCACACAAACCAAGTTGGGTAAACCAGCTTTCAAGATAAGATGTGGAAGCCTGTGCTCTAAAGCTGTCTGAAAGCTGGTCATTATAATGAATTAGGAGCAGCGAGTATGCACGCGCGTGTGTGTGTGTTGAGCCTATACTGTTCAATCTTTGGTGACAATGGCAGTCTGAAGCTGGTGGGGTGTGTCTGGTATGATGAGTGGTCACAGCAGCATCTGGACAGACGTGGCCAAATCTACAGAGGGAAAGAAGACAGAGCAGACTGACACTTTATAATAACTGCATCTTAATTAGCCTAAATAAAGAATGAAACGACTTAATTCATGAATAAGTAGGTTATTAAGATTCAGGCTTAGTAACTACTTAATCAAGGGTTTAGGGTTAGAGGTTTAATTGCATAGTTGCTAAGCTTGAATCATTCTTAATAAACTATTTGTTCATTATAATTCAAGTCTTTTTCATGCATTATTAAGGTACGAATAAACTGTGGTTATTATAATGGAGAAATTGCTATTCAATAGTCACTTTATTTTACAATTATGTAAACCTTATCTTTAAAATAAAACAAATGAAAACCCCACAACTCTAACCTGGAGAAATGAGCAGACATATAATTTAAAGTATTATAGGATTGTCTCAGATTCAGTGTTTGATTTGCACTAGAATCTGTGTACCATTCTGACCAGGGCTGCCTTATCTCCAGCTCTGGTCCTATGCAGAGGATTGAGGATTTAGACACATGAAATTGGGATGGGCTCTTCGACTCATGTTTGCGGGCCTGTGGCAGGCAGCTTTAATTGAATCATTGCTTACAACCGGCAATTTGGAGGCTTTCTCAGTTCATTAGAAGTTCAGCGTTTCAGGTTTAGTGAGCTCCAGATTTTGGTATGTTAGATTGTGTTTGGACAAGCTGAGGTTTAATGTCCAGCCTCAGAGGACTGATTGATTAGTAAGATAAAGCCCATCTGGCAAAGAGGCATTCACAGTAACAAAAATATAAAACATAGTCAATACTAACTCAACAATTCAACAATCTGATATGCAGGGTAAATTTTGCTAAATAATATGGTGCTAAGCCACTATTATATCCGCAGCTGCCCTGGGGCAGACTGACTGAAGCAAGGCTGCCAGTCTGCTCCATCAGCCCCTCCGAACACCACCAATTACTCATACACACACCACTTTCATACTAGGCACTGCTTAGCTTCCGAAATTTGATGAGATCAGGCTTTGACAATGAGATTTGACTACAAAAAACTAACTACTGCCTACTTCTACATTCCCAATCCTACTATACTACTCCCGTTCTAATGCCAGAACTTACAGCTGACAACAAGGTCGCTCCAGGTATTCTGGACTTCTCAAATAGCTTTAAAACCTACACAATCAAGGAGTCCTCCTGACCAAACCTAGCTCAGGATCTGGACATTGGTCCCTGTGTGCATTGAGGCATCGATCAAATATAGGTCAGTATTCCCTGTGGGAAGAGTGGACAATAACACTCTTCCTTGATACTGTCAATAGCTTACTGCTGATATTAGCTATACACTATAAGAGTAGACATGGATGTATATTAGCATACATCCATGTCTACTATTATACTTCTCCAAATTGCCCACATAAGAATTGGAGTAAAACTTTAACACAAACAAACAAAATACATTGTAATGCATGTTCTTGAATAACCTCACCAACACAAAATGCCATAATATCCGCACAAAGCAGAGCTGTAGATTTAAAACTCATCATGCTGCACCTGGCAATGCACTAATGATATCACTGTGTCTCTTCCTGAATGGAAAAGACTATTTTGGAGCATGAATTGAGAGACATCCTTGATAGAGCATAATGTATTCTATGGCACACCTCAGTCTGCAGGGTTATCTGTGGTTCATCAGGGAACATGGAAGTCAGACAATAGCTTCCTCTGGGGGTCTTCAAGGTGTCCCCGGACAGCTTCAGCGGGACCGACGCACCTTGACCTCCAAAATAAGACCCATGATATGAGCACTGGCAGCTGCAGCGGGACAAAAAACAAACAGGAACCGGTCACAAGTTTAATCTGAGCTGTAATGTTAAAATAATGGTCTACATTCATATCTGTCTACAGTCTTTCACCACACGCCCATCACAAAGGGTGAAAGGATCTCATTGGTTGATAAAGTACATACAAATATCATGCTACATTAAATAAGTAATACAAGCCAGCACATCTGTTTTTATTTTTATGTTTTTTATATATATATATATATATATATATATATATATATATATATATATATATATATATATATATATATATATATATATATATATATATATATATATATATATATATATTTTTTTTTTTATAAGCTCTATTGTGACTTTTATGGTGGAGGGTCTACCACCTGCTTGTCTCCATGGTGATTGTGATACGGCATTAAATCTATCTTTCTCTTCTATCTTTCTCTGTGGATACAAGCGACTGACAGCACCAGGTCTAGATAGAGATGGTTAGCTGACCCGCATTCAGTAAGAATGCATATTTTCAGTATTACACCTGTAACTGAATACTGTAAATGCAAAAGAAAATAATGCCATACCGTGGAACATTCCAGGCTTAGCTACAAGCAAGTAGCTGACCCTCCACCAGAAAGTTACATAGTTTACCTTTAACAGAGAGATGGTAGGTGTAAAATAAATAAATAAATAAATACATAAATAAATAAAAATAAAAAATTAACAACAATCTGCAGATCGAAGTATACATTATATTTTTTGTGAAAATGCTCTGTCCGTCCTGTAAAAGTGCAAAATAAAAAAAAAGAAAAATACATGAAAAATAATTTAATAAATAAAAGAAGAAGAAGAAAGAAAGAAATACATTTCCGTACAGATCACAAATTACAGCAGTGGCTCAGGGGAGTGGGACTCTCTTCTAAACGCCATTGGGTGTCGCTGTGCGAGCGAATTCTCAGCATGCAGAACTTCAGCAATCCGAAGTGTCAGATTTTCGCCAACACGTGAGTCGAACCCCAGATTATGACCAAGGTCTGAAAGGGGGATCCTGAGGGAAAACCAGGTCCGCACGGCGAGATTACGTGGAAGAATATTCTGAGGAAGCGATAGACTCACCGAGGAGACAGCGGGAAGTTTACAAGGGGTATGTCGAGAAGGACCGCAGTGATACGGCCAGATCACCAGACATGAATCCGAGGTAAACGAGTGAGTGTAAGCTTCAAAACTAAAACCTAGTACGCAACTACAGCTGTTGGAAGTAACATTTCTAACCATTCACAAGGTCTGTCATTTACGCATAATCTAAACGTTGTCAGTATTGGATGGAGAGACTGTCTTCTGCGTAACCGAACGACCATACAAGTTATAGCCCGTTATAATATGTTTTTGATCAACATACTGTATTTTATACCCTACACAAGCTTTTTCTTAATGATGGATATGGTCAGTGCTTTTAATGTGAAACTCCAAATGAGTCTAACCGTTGCGTCTGTGGTTTTACGTTGGACACTAGAGGTCAGGTGCATCAGGTGTGATCATAGACTCTTGTGAGTGTTACACAAGAAAGAAAGTACGTGAATCACTATTTCAATATAAGAAAATGTAGGCTACGTAAAGTTGGGTGACAATTTGAAATAATAATAATAATAATAATAATAATAATAATAGTCAGTGTCCTCTATTGAATTCGAAACCGTCAGAAATGTTTGCCCTAAAAGATCATAAATATGCAAGCCTATGAACATATGCATTCAATATGTGCCTGTCTCTTTAAGACGATGTGTTGAGAAGTTCGAGTCGGGGTCACATGAAGTTCCTGCCCTCGATTTTACCTTTTAGTTTTATTATGGACTGACATCACACGGGGCTCGAAAACACTTAAGACATATAAAGACACCATTATCATCCCAATGCGCGTTTTACTCAAAAATAGCTAAGAAAATTAGTTGAGAAAAAAAATGTTAGAGGAAACTGATGCTGGTCAAAGCACGTATTTTTATAGGAGTGGATGAGAAAGTGGAGAGGAGGGGCAGTGACAAGGAGAGAGGTGGGTGGGAGGACGGGCCGTAAGAGCGACAAGAAATTCATATCAATTAATAAGATAAAAAAAAAGCGCTGGCAGACGCGCTCGGAAAACTGGCATGGTTTTTGGAGGCTGGCAGTTAAAGCTCAAACGTCAGATATGAGTTCTGGAGAGTGCTGAGATGATCATTAAGGGAGACTTGGAGCGTATGGCAGAAGACATCGGGCATGCAGGTAAGAGGCTCTCGCGCTTTACGCACAGCCGGGACGCAGACACTGGGACACGGTGAGGGCTCCAGGCGTGTCCGCTAGACTTAGCTTAAACACACTAACATGCTGGGGATTTTTAAACAGATAAAAATTAAACACATCTCCATACTCCATCTCCGAACGGGCTCGCCTAATTATTTGCAAGTTTTACATAAACTATTTTTGTGCGTTATTTATCGTGCAGGCCCTGTTAAATTAAATTACCAAAAGCAATTTAAAACGTGATGGAAATCCGCCTAGTCTAATAAAACTAGGCCTAATCAATCATTTCTGATGATGGTTTTGTTTTTGCCTAATTAAACTCAAATAGCCTCATAAAAAGAAATTACAGAAGTTGCAAACGTTAAATATTGAAATGTCATTATTGTGGAAAGAATTTTATAAATCGTATGAACGACCAACGATTTTTACAAATGCTGAATACATTGTTTTGCTTTTACATGTGTTGCTTAAAGCCTAAAGGCAATCACAAAACCTAATTAAAGTAGACGCTCGTGGTGCTGCTGACAGCCCAGTATTGGAACCATCTGTGAGATACACCTTGTTTTAAAGCACTATTTCTGGATGTGATTTAGGACCTCACTCTCCGACAGAGATAAGGGCAGCTTTAGGAAAAGATGAAGCCACTCGTGAACTTTTTACTACAACAATATGTGGAGAATAAAATAGATTAAAGACAGGCGTTGTGTCATTGCCCGACACACTCACTCTGCAATGCTTTGCGCTTTTCTTGCAATGGGCCATGAAGTTACAGCTATGGGCGTTTGATAAACTTGGACAAACAGACAAGCAAACTTTTAGTTTAAAAAAAAAAATCACGCCTGGTAACCTGAGTTAAAAATATAGGCTTATCCTAAATTTTATTTACTATTATTTACTTAGGGATCACAGTGCATCACGCTCGCGTTAACTTAGAAAAGTCTTTACACGATCAAAATATCAAATACTTTTTGTCTTTATAAAACTCTCTGTAATTCTCCGCTCATTAAGAGAGAGTCAGAAAGGGGAAAGGGCAAATAGGTCCACTGTAATTAACGAAGAACAGTGGCTATTGAGCCTTGTCTGTTCTAACGGGACCACATATGATCGGAGTTGATACTTGGTATTATTAAATACAGATACGATTTTTTGCTAATAAAGCACACAACGAAGGCACAGTACATTGTAAGTGTAAAGCTAAAAACTGTACACAATGCGCCCAGTGTGCAGTTCCAAAAGAAACATACACGTGCTGTGTGCACAGTTCTTTTGTAGGGACATTTTATGGCATATTTAACGCATAATGAATTTATATTCGTAATAGAGGAAAATCTGTGCAGATTGTACTCCACAAATACATGATATATATGTGTATATATGTTTTTTTTTTTGTTTTTTTTTTTTGTTTTTTATTAGTCTACAAACTATTCTACCTAACAGGATGCCCTGGAGTAAAATAAAATCGGTCAACTGTAATGACATATGGTGACATTTTGTAGTGTCTTAAATCAAGGTCACATCTGTTTAAGTGTTAGATTAAAATCTGTTAAGGTGACAAAAATGGCAGAATGCATTCTAAGTCATTTTTGAATGATCTTTTTTATTAAAAAAATAAAATAATATATATATATATATATATATATATATATATGTATATATATTTCAGTGTGTTTTATCATTGCAGTGACTGAATCAAGAGTAAAATAACAAATGATTTCAGTTAAGCGGTATCACTGTTTTCATGCAGTGAACGGTTACTGTTAATCAGACTAAACAACATAAAGCAGCGGACAACTTTCAGTGACTTATCCAAAGTTCATGACCTCTTCATATCACACTCACTCCTAAACATATTTGGCCTGATTAACACCAATATTTACTGCAGCATATGTTAAATGAGTAATCAAACGCAGACACATATCTGAATTTAAAACACTTAACATGATGCGTGGGGACAAGATGAAGCCTGAACTCATCTCAACCTACCACGTAGCTGCCTGTTTATCCAACCTCCTCCACTTTACATGTTATAAATCAATGGAAATATATGGAAATATTTTTAATAGAACATGGCCTAAATCTCTGGCTAAAAATAAAATACATAACAACAATTTGATTTGCAAGTATAAGGCAAGAAACAAGACACAAATTCTTCAGTATTTTTTACAGTCACTGTCAGTGTGAGGATTGGACTTTCCAGTGTGTACCAATCTACTGTATCTTTGAGTGTATCTATGAATCAAGTAAACAAGAAGTAGATAGAATGATGTCAGGAAGGCATGATCAGACAGCTGACATGGACATTGTTTAGTTGCTTGTTTCCCTTGAGTGCGACCAAATCCTTCAACATGCTAAATCTTATAAATAAATTGTCTAGTTGAGATGCTAATTTAATAACAAAATGCTGTGTGATGTGGTATATATTTGGCCTGATAAAACAATTATAGTTGAGGGTAGTTCCATTTATTGTGTGTGTGTACTCAATATTACTGGAGTATATAATCTATTTCTGATTTACATTGTGGCCATCTGACGTTCCTTATATGACTCAGAAAGAGTCCTTTCTTTTTGGAAATGTCCTTTGCACACAGTTATAGGTTACCTGGTATACATAACACTCTGGGAAACATAAAAAATTAGAGCATATTTTTTTTAAAACAATGTTCAATATTTTACCAAGTGTAAACAAGTATGTGCCTTTTTTAAAGTCACTTTCTACAGAGGAAGTTGATGCAATAAAATGTCTGATAATGAGAAAACCATTGCATCCACTCACCTTTCATAAAAGTTCACATTACTGCGCAGTTTCCACATACAGTACAAATTGTATATCCTATCAGAGGAAGAACAACCACACTGACTGCAGCACTTATTTTAACAATATTTTAAGATGATTAAGATGAAGGTGTATACATAATCAAAATGTATACCTGATCATAACTGTTTTGATCGTCCTGAGGAATGACAGTTTTGACTGAATTGCTCATTGCATTCCTGTGCGCTGTGGAGCTGACCTTTGTGACATTGACACATTTCTATTGTTACAGGTGCTGGACTGAAGACGATGCTGGATGCCATGGAAGTTCCAAGTCATGCGAGGGATCTTCTCCTGCAGCTCAACAGCCAGCGCACCAAGGGCTTTCTGTGCGATGTCATCATTGTGGTGCAGAACGCACTCTTCCGAGCTCACAAGAACATTTTGGCTGCCAGCAGCCACTACTTGAAATCACTAGTGGTGCATGACAATCTCATCAACCTCGACCATGAGATGGTGAGTCCAGGGGTCTTCAGGGTCATTCTGGACTATATATACACTGGCCGTCTTAGTGAAGGGGACCCCACCTCTCCATCTGAACCCAGTCTAGGGGCTGTGCTAGCCGCAGCTAGCTACCTACAGCTCCTTGACTTAGTGGCCTTGTGTAAAAAGAAGCTAAAAAGGAATAGCAAGTATCTGCCCCGTCCAAGTCCAGCATTTCTGCCCTATCCTAAGATGGGTCCTAGTATGGGGTTGAGTGGCCGCTATCGCGTTTCTACTCCTGTCATTCAGCCATGTCCTCCAGGAGGAATGGTAAACAGCCTTGGCCCTCGACCACCTCCACTAGAGGAGCTTGTTCCACATCGCCTGGGCATCCACACAGGAGAACTGTATGCCCCCACTTCCACACAGCCATCTCAGGTGTTTCCTTCCTCTCCCAGCGGCCTGCCTGCTCCATTGGGCCTACGCTCAGCCCACCCAGACACAAACTGCTCCCCAATGTTCGGCCTGGACCTCACCAAGAAAAGCCCTAGCTCACAGTCGCAGCACACGCCCACCCAGTCCCATCTGGTTAGCTCTCACAATGAGGAGGAGAGAGATGGCACTTTGAGCGGACACACCAGCCCCATGCGTGGAATCAATGGACAAGCCTCCTTTCCATCAGATAAACTAGAGCCCAGTGACCAGACAGGCACTCTCTCTCCCCCTCCTTTCCCCCATCTAAACCAGCCTCTGGGCCCCCACCTGCCTCATCTGCACCGCTCCACTTCCCAAGCCAATGAGCGCTTCCCATGTCCATCCAGCCCTGGTACCCCGACAGAGGGGGCAGAGACTGGCAGAGAGATGGGCAACATCTACCGTTGGGTCAAACATGAGCCTGTTTCATATCCAGGTGAAGATGAAGATGAGGAGGATGATGATGAAGCAGGTGAAAATGGAGAGCAGCATCACAGCCATCACAAAGTGGGAGAGGAGAGTGAAGGAGCAGAGGACAAGAGTGGCTCAGGGACTGAGGAGACAGGCAGCAGTGAAGGCCGTCCCTCTCCAACAGGACCTATGGGCAGGTTCCACATGCCTTATGAGCCCGAGAGCTTTGGGGACAATCTGTATGTTTGCATTCCCTGTGATAAAGGCTTCCCCAGCTCAGAGCAGCTCAATGCACACGTGGAGACACACACAGAAGAAGAGCTGTACAGCAATTCCGTTGGAGACATGGTGAACGGCAATAACAGCTGCACCAAAAACAATAGCAGTAATATGAATGGCTATGCAGGTCTCAATAACAGCAGTTTGTCTCACCTGGAGAATAAGTCCAGTCAAGGAGCAGGGGGCATAGGAGATATGATTCGACCCTATCGCTGCTCCTCCTGTGATAAGTCCTACAAAGACCCTGCCACTTTGAGACAACATGAGAAGACCCACTGGCTAACCAGGCCCTACCCGTGCAGTATTTGTGGCAAGAAGTTCACGCAGCGCGGCACCATGACTCGCCATATGCGCAGCCATCTGGGCCTGAAGCCCTTTGCCTGTGACTCCTGTGGCATGAGGTTTACCAGGCAGTACAGGCTCACCGAGCACATGAGGATTCACTCCGGGGAGAAGCCCTATGAATGCCAGGTCTGTGGGGGGAAGTTTGCCCAACAGCGTAACCTTATCAGCCACATGAAGATGCACAGCAGTGGGGGGGCAGCAGGGGGTCTCACTGTGGATGGCAAACTGAAGCTGGACTTTCCTGAGGGTATTTATCCCCTGACTAAATACACAGCAGAGCACCTGGGGCTGAAGCAGGAGAAGGCCAGTGAGCTCCTCCTACAGGCGCAGCAGCAGCTAGTGGCCGATGCAAAGGCCTTAGAGAGTCTGTATCCCCTGTCCAAACTGGCCTCAGAGCACCTCGGACTACCCCCGGACAAGATGGATGTGCTGGGACCACCACTGCCCCCTCAGGCCATCTCTGACAATCGCACCATCGACCGCTTCTCCCCCAGTTAAGACCTTACTCAAAGGACTTCAACATTAGTAAGTCTTCATACACAGCAGTATTGTGACACTGTTCACCTCAGTATTTTGTACACCTCAGACTCAGGCCTGACGCCTGTTGGCCTGCCAGTGCACACCCCACCATAGGTGCCTTTATGTGTATCTAGTGTAACTAAACTTTTACTGCATAAGCACTGTGCCTTTCAATGACCAAAGAACACTTTTCATGCTCATGTACAGTGTGCAGCAAAGACCACTATTCCAGCAATTGAGCCAAAGCAACAGGTTGAAAACCAAAATAAAGTTGTCCTATTTATTTTTGTATGATGATATAATCCAAAGATCAAATATGTTTTGCTTGTGTACATTTAAATACTTTGTCTAGCCTATGCAAAATCCTAAGCACATCAGCATTTGTGTCCAGAATATAACATTTGCCAAATATCTGGACCTAAAAAGAAAATGTGTTGTTATTAATATTGTAATGTTTGAATTTGGGTACTAGTCCTGAGTGTAAAGCCTTTTTGGCAGTTGAGGTAAAAGACAAAACAAATTACCAGCATTTTATTTCTCCTTTTATTTTGTCACTCACAGCTTTTTTTTTCAGTCTCACACTTAGTTTAACCTTCCTTAAGCTAAAGTTTCCTTTGAATTTTAACTACAACCACAACCCCTTTTGACGTTAGTGATGTGGCAATCAGAGCAGTGACCCAATAGCTGTGGCATTATGGTCCACAGCCAACAGATGACATAAAACCTCTGCACATGATGACAGCAGATTCTTCATAGGCTGCAGACCATGCATGGGTGTTGCCCCTGCCATTGTTAATATCCACCATTAGCTGTGTCCAGGAAACTCAGTGCCTAGAGAACAGAAGCAGTTTATTGGTTAATCAGTGCGAGTGTGGTCAGATCATGTGCCTCACTGACCATTTGGCCTGAGTCCCCTGCAGCTTGCTGTCTACTGCCCTCACTATGGTGGACAATTTCAACGCTACAAAAAATATTGACAACTGACAGATACATTAATACATTTTTTGTTACACAACTTGTTAGTTGGGTGAGAAGTTAGATAGCAATGTGTACATTTTTAAATCATAAAAATGAGTAAGGGTCTGAGTAAGTTTTCTAATTTAAAGGTGCACTATGTACATTTACTGGTGGAGGGTCCAAACCATTTTCTTCATGGAGATGCTGTAAATGTTCCAAAGTATAGCATGAAACTTATCTATTTCCACTCAGACAGGCATAGTAGCAATAAAAACAGCTGTAATGGAATGCATGCAAGATTGTCACATTTATACCAGGCAAAGCAATAACATATCTGAGACAAGCAGGCGATGGACCCTCCACCAGAAAACTTACATGGTGCAGCTTTAAGTATCTGGGTCAGAATGTCTCCTAAACCTTGGCAGCTCCTGGAGGTTGTTCTGAGCACGCATTGGTCAATATCTGTTAAAAGTGCTAGTTAATTGCATATCAGGTGGTTTATTCAGCTGGTGGTCCTAATGTTAAGTCTGGTTGTGTACGCTCCCGCTTCTTAACAGTGGGCTGCTAATCTGTCAGTGATATGAACACACTTGGGGCTATCCAAGTGTTAAAAGCCGACTGCAAACGGGATGTCCCAGCTGTTGTGTTTCAATAATCCCTGTGAAGTATCATTTTTCTTCAGAACAATTCATGCAGCTTTTCGGCCTCATGTCCCCATTTTATGCCTGCCATTCTACCCCCATAACCACCCTCTAACATCGTGTCCCGCAGATACAAATGTCTCCCATCTGCTTACCAAACAATGAAATATTTCTGCGTTAGCTGACCAGTCGCCCCCTTCAACAAAAGCACTTAAAAATTGTGGGGTAATTTTTGTTTTTAAATGTTTATTCCAAAGAACATTGTGACCTTTTTTTTTTTTTTTTTATTTAGCTTGGAAATGTCTGACCACTATTGCCTTTGCCAACCTCAGTCGGCGAATGTGAACATTATAAAGCCATATTTACACTGTGATATATGTAATATATCTGAAAAGCCTTAAACCAAAGGAATTGGTTTTAACGTAAGAATAATTTAAAGGGTTAGTACTTAGTGACATGCTTTAATACAGTACTGTGCAAAAGTCAATGTGAAAATGACTTAATAAAGATTACTACATATATTTTGTTTTGGGTAATTCTTAAAAAGTGCAGTGTTTATCATAGAATATTCACAGTTATAAGCAATATATTCATTGTCAATATGAAAAAAATGCTTAGTAATTTCCTCTTTTTTGTTGATTTTAGTACAGAATGACACGTCATTCTTACTGCAAACTTTTGCACAGTACTGTGGCTCTCGGCCATTCATTTAAACTAAAGTGCACATGTTAGCTGTGCGTACCTCAGGACTGAACCTAGACCACAATGCTAAGCTTAACTAAACACCACACTTACAGTAATCCTGTGCATACATTTTTACAGGGCACTTCGTCCTTGCTCAAACCTGTGTATTTAAGTGTGGCGCATAATGAGAGGATAAGACGTAATATTCAACTTTCTATTTGTTTTTCTATTGACCTGTCCTATAAGACGTTTTGTTTGACCAATTCTGTTGGCAGATGGTATTTTTAGCATGACTTGATAATCCACAAATAGTAGGCTAAGCATGATGTTTTTACTTGCAAATGTTTACATTGTTTGTCATTTCAAATTTATAGTACTGTTCAAAGGTTTTAGCCTTGTGTGAGAAAATCTATTAATTATGAGTGTTTGTCTATAAATGAAAATAACATTTGAAAATGGCAATTTGAACTTTAGAATTATTGTCTCAACACAAGACCATTAAGAGATTAAAAAACAAAAAAAACAAAAAAACTTTGCCTTTTCCCCATGTTATATAAACTTTTAAACATTTGCACAGTACTGTGTGAGACATAGGGCCTGCTGTCCTGACTCCTGTGTGAAGTACAGTGGCTGTTGGTCATGGGAATTGTAGCAGTACTCTCTCACCCCAGCTCATTCAGCCCCTCAAATCTATCCAATGTATTTTCTTTTCAAAAAAAAAAAAACACCAAAAGTTCCGCTGTCACACAACGGAGAAAAGAGTGAGATAATCTAGGAACGTTGTAGCTCTATTTGGGAAGCTTGTCTGCCTGTGTCCCTCTGCCACGGCAGTTCTCAGGGCAGTGTATGTTCTGGGAATAAGGCTGGTGAGGAGAGGAGCAGGAAGCGCTGTGCTGGCTGCTGTGTGTCTCTGGGCGGATGTGCCTCGTGTTTGTGCTCACAGTGAGATACGGGACCAGGAGAGGAGAAGAGAGAGGAGCAGGGGAGCAGGCGCAGCAGGGTGGACCACGGCCATTGTCTCACCATGAAAAGCTTGTCGAAAAAACTGTCCATTCACAAAACAAGGCATATCTGGTCTTTTTCCTTCCCTCTGCCCTCTTTGGGAGTACACTCTGGTCAAGATCACACTCCTCTGACACTGTGAGGAAGCCATTCAGACACACAGAGGATGTTTGCTTTTTTATTATTCTTTGTAATATGACAGTTTATTATGTCTGGATTTGGACAACACGGACTGATCCGTAACTCTATTAATACTGGTTTTGTAATTATCTTTTTGTTCTATTTACAAAGTTGGCAAGTCACAGTAAAGTCATTTTAAAAGCATAAAAATCTGCGTTTTTTTATTTGATGATTATTCTTTTTTACAGTTTTGCTATAATTTGCCAGTTCTTTATTCCCTTACAAGTTACCAATTTTACTACAAGCAGCTGCTTAATGTTTTGCATTTCTCAAGAGAAACTGAAGTTGTATTTTTAATACTGTTACAATCCACTAGAAGTCTCTGAGTTTCCTCCTCTCAGTTCACCAGTTCAGTGTTACCTCACTGAGCGCTCCTCACCTCGGCCTGCTCTTCTCCATTACACTGCCCCCCTCTGTCATCATCTACTCTCACTCAGCTGGTTTTCAGCCTCAAAAAGACAGGCGTCTAAACGCTTGAGTGGAGTGTTCTTTTCCTGTAAGCCTTTATTATGAAGTGATCTCAAAAATAAGCAATGGCCAGTCTAAAGCCACTGTCCCAACAGACAGTGGTTATATTAGGTCTGATCTGAAAGCAAAAAAAAAAAAAAACTTTGTTTGGTGAAAGTAGCAATGCAAAATATTGTGAATGGAAGCATTTGGGGGGGAGGGGGCATGGGTTGAAAATCAAAAAGATGTGGTGAAAAACTGTAAAACACAAAACTGAGCCTCATGCTGAACACGGCGGTCATTAGTTAAGTCTTTATCAGAAAGTGCCACAGTGTTGAAAGCTCACACCAGAACACAGTGAAATGTTGAAAGAGGACACAGCACCTCAAGGCCAGCACAGACAGACAAGCAAAGCCACAGTTTGGGTTTGGATTAGATCCTGTTGTACCATTGATTATGATGTTATGATGTAATAAAGATTAGAGTGATGAGGGACAGAGATTATCATCGTCTGGTTGAGGTTTAAGGATCAGAAAGTTGAAAGAAGGCCGATAGACAGTAGTGGCAATGGATGATGGAAAAACACAGCTTTACAGTGGAACGCAATGGCTGGTTTGTTTAAAGTACATTTCTGAGGATGTAGTTATTTTGTGGATTACAAGGCCTTGCTTCAAATACCATACAAGTCAAAGTAATACAAAATAGCTTATACACCATCACTGCATTTTTCAATATTGATCGTTTTGCTTTGGTAAATTGAATGTATTTAATGCATGTCAAAATTGTTTTATAGTTTATCTGTGTGTACATTTTTTAAATAATAATAATTTCATCTAATGACAGTGTCTTGATAAAATCATGTTGATAAGGCTTTTTTGATAAGCCAATGTGAAATGTTTCTTGTTCATATATTCAAAATCAACTTGGCAATAAAATAAATTGAATACCAAGCAGAGTTGATCTGTGATTTCAGTATAAAACATATTTTACATTTCACTAATCTCTGATAGAATTTCAATTTAGAAATACAACTATAAGCAGAAATATGTGACAGGTGATGAAATACTCAAAATTCTTTTACAGTACTAGTTTCCAGAACTTTACTTTTTTTTTTACTGCTGTTGCTACTGCACCACAATTATGTTTAATAATATTTTTAACTTTCATCTGAATACCTGCTATAACCCACTAAATACAATAGAATTAATAGGGCTTAGAGTGTTTCTTTTTTTTAAATGTGCTAACCTAAACAAAGTTAAGAAAATGTATGGTAACTTTCCATGTGAGTGTGGTACAGCATTGGGCCTATGAATGCTAAAACACAGGACACTTTTATTGTGCATGATATGAGTTTCACATTAAAATAAAGCGC